AATTTTTGTTCTCTATTTCAGACGTCGATATTAAAACTCAACACCACCACCAACAACAACAACCACAAATCCCTTTCCCCATGTACGCTCAACTTCTACAAGGTGGCCGACGACGTTAAACAAATTTAAAAATCAACCTGTTCGCATCTTTGCTTTTTAAATCAATTGCAGTGAATACATATTTTATTCATTTTTACTTTAATTTCCTTTGTATATCTTTTATTGTTTATCAGAATCCAGTAAATATTATATAAATGAAATGTGTATGTTATAATAATATATTCATTTTTCCTTTTCCTTTGTATACGTTAAAAAATTTTCATCAGAATTCTGTTAATATTATATATATAAATGAACCATCTACTCTATAATAATACATTCATGTTTACTTTATTTCCTGTGTATACTTTTAAATCCAGTTAATAGTATAAATGAACTATCTTTCAATAATGCGTTTTTTTTAGTTTATTTCGAAATATACTCTTCAAAAAAAGTAGGGGATACTGAAATGCAAATACCTATGCAGGTTGTGATATGATAAATAGTCATGGAAACTTGACATGCTTTGAGAGTATGTTCACAGATGACTAACTTATCTCCCCAACAGAACCACTGAGCTGCACATGCGAAACGCAATAGCGCCATACACGTGGGAGGGGTTCATTGTCAAATTTGACACTTCAAGGAAGGGTTGATGAAAACTACCGTTTGCTGGTTTATCCTATCCATGTTTGCTTTTCTATCGGTTCTTGCATAAGATTTACTGTTTAGCGTATCTTTGCTTTAGTGTGTTACGTTTAATTTGATCGAAAGACGTGTTCGTCGACGTCAACGTCAACCGACAACACTGCAAGAATTGACTGTAGCACTGCAAGAGGAGTGGGTCAGATTGCCCCAAATCGTGATTGGACGGTTGATTAGGAGCATGCCACGACGAATTGCTGAACGTCTGAGGATTGGTGGAGCAATTACTCATTATTAAGAAAAAAATCAAAAACGTCCATTTTCACTTTTGACAGTGTATCTCTTTGCGAGTGAAATGGGGCCGTCAGATAAGCCGCCCATATGAACTGTTTATGTTCATGTGTAGGCAATTGGCCTGTTATTAACATACACTGGTTACCTCTAATAAAAACAGCAGTGCATTTCCGCAGTTTTGTATTGTTTCTGAATATCCCCTACTTTTTTTGAAGAGTATAAAATGAATAAATATATTAGTGTCATTTTCTTTAAATATCTGAGGAAATTGTGATTACTATGTAGACTTGTCAAGTCCATGTACACACTTACACTTTTTAGTCTATTTCGAAATAAAATGGATAAATATATTAGTGTCCTTTTCTTTAAATATTTGAGGAAATTGTGATTACTATGGAGGTCTTGTCAAGTCCATGCACACACTTACACTGAACACGTCTCACATCCACCTGTAATCTTACCCTTGTATATGGACTTCACACGTTTAAGGGCACGCCAGAATTCATGTCCGAAAATAATACTGGATCAAAGATGTTATATAGCTGGCAGCCTTCTCCGAATGGAAAGTTAAATTTAACTTGCAGAGATTACTTTTGCATTTTTGACCAAGGGAAAAGTGGCCGTTTATTTGCACTGCTTGTTAAACGTATAAAGTAAACAAAATAAAATCTGAATTTCACCACAAAATAGGTACAAAAGCATAATTTTCAAGATCGAAGGTTAAATTGTCACATTCGATTCAAGGTTTCGCCTAACATCCATTTTCCAAGCAAACTTCAAGAAAAAAAACATTGCGCGTAAGACAGTAAATCCTAACACACATGTGTTGGGGTAAATATATCCAACGTAAACCCTAACTGAAGTGTCTTGGGTGAAATATGTATAATGTTTAGAAGAACACACGAAACTTTCAAAGATAGCATTTCAAAGAAAGGGCATTATCAACAGGAATAAGATATATAATATTTAAAAGAACTTTAGACTCGAACCTAGTTATTGAAAATCAATGCACTGACCAACTGGCATGACTAAAGTATCTCACTCGAAAGTCTGTGGATGTCCATTAAAATTCATTACATCGGTACCAAACAGCAACTCAACAAAGTAAAAAAAAGAGTAGCCTTTCGATTGCCAGGGAGTTAATTCAACCAACAAACAAGGCAGAGAACGTCGATGCTTTCATAGATTCCACACTGTCTTTTGAGATACACATCAAAACTATCTGCTCTTCAGCTTTTTACGAGATTTATAAATTAGCAAAGATAAAAAAGTACCCAATGTGTGAAAATCGAAAACTCCTCGTTCAGAAGAATAACCCCAAATTCCTCTCTATATATTCAGATTGCAAGTTATTCCGGGCATAGAATATACGCCATGGATCAAAGAGATTTAAGTTATAGGTTTATAATGACTTTTAAAGCACTCAACGATCAAGCGCCACACTATATTCAAGATCTATTCACTCCATATGAATCCAGTAGAACCTTAAGATGGAAGAACAAGTTATTGTTAGTTATTCCTGCTGTCAAACTTCAACAGACGATTTTTTCACGTTTCACGTAAAACAAACCACACACACAAAAAGAATCCACATAAATTTTAAAGCGTATTAGAAACTTTATCGAAGTATTGTTTGCGCTAAACAATTTATGTGTTGACTGATTGATTAAAATGTCTATCTCTGTGCTGTCAAACTTCAACAGACGATTTTTTCACGTTTCACGTAAAACAAACAACACACACAAAAAGAATCCACATAAATTTTAAAGCGTATTAGAAACTTTATCGAAGTATTGTTTGCGCTAAACAATTTATGTGTTGACTGATTGATTAAAATGTCTATCTCTGTGCTGGATTAGCAGATATGTGCCAGACTTTGCAATTTTATTGAAAAATTCCTGGTGCAACTGTTAATGTTAACTGGATTGACAGACATGTGTCAGACCTCCCAAACAATTTGATTTAAAGATTCCTGATGTAACTGTTAAGTCTAATACGTCCTGTACCTGACGATAGAGATTAGTGAGATTTTGCACTTGCTGAAGATAACGGGGGGGGGGGGAGGGGCTGGCTTTTGGTAAATTCCCCAAAAGACAATAGTCTAAATGTGAAAACATAAGAGCATTGACTAGTTATTTTGAGATGTCTCTGTCCAAATATCGTCTTTGTTTCCTTTTATGAAGATGCAGAACGAGTCGAAGAATATCTCTGCACAAAGCAAATCTCAAATTTTGATCTCTGTTGGACTCTTTGTTTGAGCTCGCGAACTTCCAAATACAATGACTTATTGTCATTCATCTTGAGCCGATGCATCTGCACCCACTGCTTGCTTTCATCAATTATTGCTGACAAGCCCTATATGGTGTTCCTCTCAGACGTATGATAATCAACTTTTAAACAGTTGTAGATTTTGTGATCATCACTATGGCCTACCAAAGATAGATCACTGTCTGCACAATATTGGAATGTGATGATATGTATGCTACTTTGATTGACCTAATAATCGATATCCATTGGACCCTCGATCGTGCAGTCACTGAGATATGAATGGGTCCCATTCGCACTTTCCAAGCCCACTCAGAAGTAGTTATACATAGAGATCATTGTCTAAGACAAAGTCTTCGTATAATCAGTCTGTTATATTCATAGGTTAATATGTACACATGGGAAACTAGCAGCCACAAACTCTAGGTGCCATTAATTCCCAATAAAATAACGGAAACGGAAAGCCATGATTAAATTTATTTTTGAAATAAATTACAGCCAAATAAGGGCTAAAATTATCCTTCAAATCAGGGTTTTAAAACATTGTGTAGACCATTAACAATATTTAGTAAACGAGCATATCTATATGGATACGAAAAAGTTTTGGACCAGAGCTAAGTATCAAAATAATGCCTTTAGTTTTAATATAGTTTTGAAATAATATTATATCTTTTTCGGTCTCGCTTTATTTAAATTAGAAATACATTTTATTCAACACAGTCGATTAATTTTATAAAATGTTTATTTAAGTATATAAATACATATATATCTGACCCCAAAAAGTGTGCATTAATGTTTGGCATGGCTGTCCACGGGTTAATTGCTTAATTAGATCTTAAAAAAGAAAGTTGAACAACATATCATTAATTAAAAGGAGTCGTTTTTATTCTTTATGTAAATACATAGATAACATTGATACCTCTTTTAACACCTTCTTACTATAGGAAATTTATATGACTTAATTAAATGACAAAACATATCGATTTACTTTTTTGTTAATGATGAATAGGGGCGATTACAAATTAATTACATGATGAAAAAACTGATGGAGAGAAATGGTATATATCGATGCTGGGGTGAACTTAGCAGCATCACATCTTCAACATCTATCTTTGTGTACAGATAACTAATACAGAAATTTTTCCGTGAAGGATATATAACCTAAAGCAAGACGTGTAGCTCAATCTGAAGACGAACCTACGGTTATACCCGAAGAAGAACTTTGTCCACAAACTACATTCATAGCTTGATCTGAAGACGAACCTACAGTTATCCCTGAAGAAGAATTTTTTCCAGAAACTACATTCATTAAAATGAATTCCTTGTATGTAGCTTTCCTTGCCTTGTGTGGTTTAGTGGCTGTAAGAAGTCAAAGTCGTAAGTCATATATTTGTATGATTAGAGTATTTTCCTTCCAACTTAGTTGTAAAACAGTTTTAGGGATCCTAAAGTAGCAACTCATGATATCTTTGGATACCAGTCATATCTTGACATCGATATCAATGCAGACCCTAGGTTTCAATTTTTTACTTGACTGGTTGTCCCAAATTAATTGTTTATTAACCTTCTTCATAAAAGATTTAATTTGATAAAGGCAGGAGTATCCTAATACCCTAATAAACGACACGCAAAGGTTATATCTGAATATATCGATTCCAAATGCAACAGACTTTTCTTACAATAGCGGAAATATATTCATATTTATGTTTTGTGTTTTTTTTCTTTGAAAGTTTGTGATACTGTAAGATGTGTTAACGGTTACTGTACTCTCAATATTCTGGCCCAGGCTGTTTGTCAATGTGAAAGAGGTTATAAACCATCCCAGACACCCGGCGTTTGTATAGGTAAGATATCAACATATATATTAGTAATAGTATCTATCAAAATCAGTATTATCTATCCAAGTCAGTATTATCTATCAGAATCATGATCATCTATCAAAATCAGGATCATCGATCAACATTTGTATTATCTATCAAGATTAGTATTATCTATCAAGATCACTACCATCTATTAATATCGGTATTATGTATCAAGTTTAGTATTGTCTATCAAAGCAGTATCATCTACCAAAATCATTATTATCAAAATCAGTATTATCTATCAAAGCAGTATCACCTATCAAAATCGGTATTACCTATCAAAATCAAAATCGATATTATGTATCAAAATCGATATTATGTATCAAAATCAGTATTATTTATAAAAACCGGTATCATCTATAAAACCGGTATCATCCATCAAATTGGTATTATCTATCAAATCAGAATTGTCTATCAATATCAGTATTATTTATCAACATTTTGGAACTATATCAAAAATCAGATTTGTGTGTGCAGCTTGATGACCACGAGATGTCCCTTCCTATTTTATTCATTTATATTTTTTTCTAGATATTGATGAATGTGTTGAATATGATTTTGTATGTGACAAAAATTATGGTTACTGTTTTAACACCCTTGGTTCTTATTACTGTAACGGTAAGTTAGCAATAAAACTTAATATCGCTTAACTATAATACGGCAATAATCCTAGATAGTTTGTATTTCTACGATAAAACAACATAATATTTATATTCCTGACTTTGTGTTCAACACATCCCATATTTGTAATCCTATAATGGTTATTGTTTATCCACACGTACATGAACACTCATTCTTCCACTTACTGTCACTCAATGTGTTCGTTTTCCAAGCCACTTTTAATAGATCAGGATTTCCATATACGAGTAATTCCTTCATATTTACATTCCATTTCTATTCAACTGGCGTTCAAATAGTATTATTTAAGAACTACAATAGCCCACCAGAGACCAAGAACTGCCGAAATAAAATACATTTTATATACGGTTTCTTCGGGTCATTTAAAACTGTATTGCATTTGTTTCTTCTCTATTTCAGACATAAATGTTCAAACTCAACACCACCAACAACAACAACAACAAATCCCCTTCTCCTTGTACGCTCGACTTCTTCAAGGTGGCCGACGACGTTAAACAAATTTTAAAATCCTCCTTTCGCCATCAATTTATCAACTTTAATAACACATTTTGTTTTTATTTCCTGATTGCTTTTACTTGCTTTGTATATCTTATATCCAGTTAAAATATTATGAATGAAATACTTATCAATGCATTATAATAATATTCTCTTTCACCTTTATTCACAAATAAATTGATACATATATTTGTGCTATTTGTAAATATTTGATTAAAATTTTGATAACTATGTAGACGTCTTAAGTATAACTTATAAGGTACTTCTCTGAATCAAGTACAATCTTACCGAAGTATATCTGTTCTAAGTACACTTACATCCAAGTAGATATAAACATTCAAAATCCAGTAAACACCGTAACCCAGGGTAAATTTAACTGTTCCATTTGCACTCTTGCGTTTTGAAAATTGCATCTGGGTTTGTGATGTTTAGAGCTGTTTCTTGTTCGTTTTATATGCAAACTTCAACTGATAATTCGTTGTCCAAATCTGATGAAAAATAATCTTGGCATCTTGTTTGTACTCAAACTATATACATAGATAAATCTCACACGACAAAAAGACTACGATAAACTTATAATAGATATTGCATAATTTGTTTATTTCAAGTCTTCTGCCTCAAAATCAATATCGTCCAAAAACAAAGACTTTATTCACAGCAAGGCGAACACATCCGTGTGCATGTGGTTCGTAATAGGTTCAAGAGCAGAGAATTTGACAGATAATTAATTCCTACGAGGATAATATAGCACACATCATAACCCTAATCATGTGACCCATATATAGGTATCGGGTTCTTGTCCCAATTCCAAACATGTTGGAACAGATGCATTTATTGAGATAGCTGTTGCCCTTGACTAGATGTGATTTTGGCAAAACTAAAATAGTCAATTTCATTAGATTTTTCTGTTGTATTTCCGAAGCCGGGCGCAACTATGTAGACAAATTCTAGGAGCCAGCAATACAGTCACTAGCCTAGTGGTTTAAATACAAAAGTGCAAGAAAACAATATATTGCCAGGTGAACTCCTCAAATTAGAAGTGATATCGGTTGTTCTAAAAAAGTAAGCAACAACTAGAAAAAAAGCCGCGTACGTTCGACTTCTACAAGGTGGCCGACGATGTTAAACAACGTTAAAGACCCGTCTGCTCTGTCTGATCAGTTTAACATCTTTGTTTTTTTTAATCAGTTGCAGTAAATTGGATTCATTCTTACTTTAATTTTCTTTATATATCTTCTATTCTTTATTAGAATCCAGTCAATATTATATAAATGTCATTCATTGGTGTCATTTTCTTCAAATATTTTAAGGGGGGGGGGGTCACGTGGCTAAGTGGGTAAGACGCTAGCTCGCAAGCCTGGAAGTCGGGTGTTCGATCCCTGCATTGGCCGAGAAAGTTCATCCAGATTTTCCGGCGTGGTTTCCCCTTGCCAGTGATGCAGGACGGAGGGCCTGACAAGGACAGCTGTCTAGTCGTTCGGATGGGACGAAAAACCGAGGTCCCTTGTACATATTGGCGTGCACGTAAAAGATCCCTTGGCAGTTGGAATTCGATATAAGAGTAGGCCGTAGCGCCGCTGCCCGGGCAAAATTTCCCTCATAGCACACTGTATGGCGTATGCCCGTCTTCTTTAGTCTAGTTTAGGAGCAGAACAGTAGGACGTTAAACCCCATTTCATTTCATTTCATTTCAAATATTTTAGGAAAACGTGATTACTAAGTAAACTTTTAAAGTCCATATTCTAACTTACACTAAACACTTCTCACATCAACAAGCAACCCTACCCTTGTATATGGGCCCCACGTGCACCAGGGCAAAATAATAATGAATCAAAGATGGTATGTAGCAATAGTAGCCTTCTCCAAATAGAAGGTTACATTTAAACGCGAGAGGGGTAACTTTGCATTTTTTTACCTGTATTCACGCGGCTTGTTAAACGTACAAAGTAAACTAAATAAAAGCATCATAAAATGGGCCTAAAAAGCAAGACCTGTTTGATCACTAGTTCAGTCAACAACAAACCATTTTGAAAAGGTTCGGGAAGGATCATATCATTGTCATGGATTGCCTGAGTAACAATCAGTTTTCAAGATCGAGGGTTAATTTGTCGTCACAATCGATTTATATTTTTACAAATTAATCATGATCTACTCACGAAGTTATTAAAAATCAAAGCACTGAACTACGAAGTAAAGTATCGATATGAATGGGTCACTTTCGCACTTTTCAAGCACACCCAGAAGAAGTCATACAAAGAGATCATTGTAGATACTCAATGCCAAACTTATCGTATAATTGATAGGCAACATGAAGTTGGCACGTAATTCGGGATTCGGGATTCGTGATTCGTCAATAAAAGAGGTGATTGCTGGAGATGACTGCCCCGTGCACTCTAACAAACCAGTCAGCACCCTACTCGCTTGACAAACGGTCGTCTCCGTGCTAATCGGTCACCCAACGTGGAAAAGGTCGGATACAAGATAGATTGTTATGTTTTAGTCGCGAATCCCGAATAACGTGCTGGCTCGTTATTCGTTATTGGCGAATCCCGAATAACGAGCCAGCACGGTATTCGGGATTCGGGAACTTCACGTTGCCTAATTGATATATGTATAGGTTAATGTGTACACTAGGCGTCATTAACTCACAATAAAATATTTCTTATCTTAAACGGAAAGCCATGATTAAATTTATTATTAACATTGCATCCAAATCAGTGTTTAAAAATTGTGTACACCATTAACAATATTTGGTAAGCAAGCGTCTGTAAGGATACGAATTTTTTTAATTTTTTTTTTTGGGGGGGGGGGGCAGAGCTAAGTATCAAATTATTGTCTTTTATAGTTTCAATATAGTTTTGAAATAATATTATATCGTTTTCAATCTCGTAATACATGCATTTTAAATTAGAAATAAACCTTTGTTCAACACAGTCCTTCAATTTCATAAAATGTTTATTTCAGTATACAAACTCATACATACATAGCTGACCAAAAAAGTGTGCATCAAGGTTTGATAATTATGATAATCAGCCACCAAGTGTTGAATTCGGCAATAAGATAGACCGTCGATGTATATTGTATGATAGTTTGTTTTTTCTTTTTCCAAGCTGTAACTCTGTCTAACCAATATGGATCTAAAACTAGAAGATTTAAAGTTGTAAAGCTTGACGTTTTTCCAGATTAAATGCATAAAGTTATAGGTTCCCACCACACAAATACCCCTTTTGATAAGAATGCTCTAATTTTTACTTTTGATTTTCTACTTTTTACGGGGTTGGGTGACCGAATGGTTAACGCGTGCACTTTGCATCATAAGGATTGTCACTGAGTCAAGTGGCGTGGTTTTGATTCCCCGCGTGTACGTGACAAGGACAAGGACTGAAACCTTGTGGGTTTTCTTCGGGTTCTCCGGTTTCCCCCCACTGCTAAAGATCCCTTCGCTCAAGCGAATTAGTGAAATGAAATTAAACCATATGTTAGTCCCGAAAACCATATGTTAGTTCCGAAATGATCTCTCTCTCTCTCGCTCTCTCTCTCTCTCTGTCTCTCTCTCTCTCTCTCTCTCTCCTTTTACTCAAGATCGGATTTTGAATCCATATGTTAGTCCCGAAAACCATATGTTAGTCCCGAAATGATCTCTCTCGCTCTTCTCTCTCTCTCTCTCTCTCTCTCTCTCTCTCTCCTTTTACTCAAGATCGGATTTTGAATCCGATAACCCACCATACACCATGACTGTGGGTTTTTCAAATACACATTAGGCCTTTCAAAATCAAGAGCAGCCACAAAATAGTCTGAAATCTATGTTATCCAAGTAGCAATACTGCTGTTACTATATTGATACTATATATATATATATATATATATATATTATGGTTGTCAGCTAACTTTTGGGATCCTAAAACCTCGCACATTTCTGAAATACAACGTCTGAAAATCTAATTCTTAAAATAGTTGGCATCTACAATAAAAATTATTTTGATTCAAGACCGGTTAATGGCGACAAATTATTCCGTGTTGCGTAAATAAACTCACTGCCACTTTTAATAAATAAAACAAACCATATTTCATTCAATTTCATTCAACTTAGTTATTAAAATCAAACCACTGGTCTACCAAGTCCCGAAAGGTTTGCCTAAGGTCCATCCGTTTATAGAATACGAAGAACAATACTAAGAAAGACAGCTAACCGGGTGACCATAGAAAATAAGAACCAAAAGCTAGTCTCAAAATAACGGAAATATTTGTATCGTTTAAATATGTTGGCTCAAAATATCTTGTATCGAAAAGCTATTCATATTTTAACTTAGCGTGGTGGGGTTTATCATGCACTCTCACAAACAATTCCAATCATCTCTATGGGTAACGTATTTGTTATATTACTTATTTGGGAACGTTGAACTGGTATATAAATTAAGAAATACTTAAAGAAAGAACAGACCGCCATTATCAAAAATATCTCATAAATCAGGGCTTAGTGTAGTCAAAGCCAACGGCACAAATGTGAAAATGGTACGTTAAGGATATTGCATACTTAAGTCTAGGCCTATTGCTTTGAAAAACACATTTTTCAGAATCGCTGTTTCTTTACTTAAATTAGAAATAAAATATACATGTATACCTTTGCTTCCTCCGAATCGAAGTGTAAGTTAATTATAATGTATGGATTGACAATACGCCATCATGTGGTCACCTCGGGTTAATTGCTTAATTAGATCTTAAAAAAGAAAGTTGAACAACATATCATTAATTAAAAGGAGTCGTTTTTATTCTTTATGTAAATACATAGATAACATTGATACCTGACTTTTTACACTTTCTCTCTATTTTTGCCCTCTTTTAACACCTTCTTACTATAGGAAATTTATATGACTTAATTAAATGACAAAACATATCGATTTACTTTTTTGTTAATGATGAATAGGGGCGATTACAAATTAATTACATGATGAAAAAACTGATGGAGAGAAATGGTATATATCGATGCTGGGGTG